GGGAATAAAGATGGAGAAACAAGAAGAAAATGATCTCGTGGGTTTCTTCTTCTCCGGGTCTCTTCTTTCTCTGTTCTGGATGGTGTGGCGGCGACTGTGTCCCTATGATGCTATCTGCTCCTTCACGAAAGTTGTTTCCGTAGATGAGAGGGAGCTGACGGCGCCTGGTATGATCCTGGGTACAAGCGTACCATGGGTCGTCTTGCACTCTGGGTGTGCTGGTGCAAATATGCTCAATGTGAAAGTTGCTCCATTTGGCTTCATTTGATAAGATTTTAATTGGTTTTCTTTCAAAAGTATATTTTCTGCATAACAAAAAAAAATTTCTTCTTTGTTGAAGGGTTAACGTTAAAAAGATGCGAGAAATAACAAAACTCCGATGAAGGTCGTATCAAATCTCTGTACTAAAACTGGTAAAATCTCGAGCCATCACGCATCAGGGGCGGATCAAACGGCTATCAAGCCGGCCGATCCACGAGCGGATCAGCCGGTTGATGCCTAACACAACCCTTAGAAGAATTGTGTAATCACGTATTTTATATAGGGAACTATACAGAATGAATGTCCTGTCAGTAAACTCTGGCGCGACATAGTACGAACAATCGATTTTTTTGTTGGTTGTGTTGTGATGATGAGTGAGTGATGGGTGCATGGTGATGTGAAATCACACAAAGGGGTCACATGTTTATTATGTACGCACTTGCATTCACCTGGTAATCTAAGGCGATATTTTGTGCCCACGAGTTCTAATTTAGTGGTTTTATAAAAGAACTTTGCATCCAAATACAGCCTAAATTTGTACGGTTCCTGCGTCCCAGGATGACGATCCGACGGCTGAGATAGCGAAGGCTATCCTTGCTAGTCGGAGAAGGGATCCACTGCCGGCCGTGCTCGTTAGGACTACCTTGCCTCTGCTCGCCCGCCTCCTCCTCCTCCTCCTCCTCCTCGCGTTCCTCTTTATTTCCCACCCCTGAATCCCAAGCCCAATTCCCACACCCCTTCCGCCGAAACCCCCGAATCAGGAGCCCCATCCACGCCGCGGCGTCTCTCCGACTCTGAGGCCCGACCCTCCATGGCCTCCTCCAACCCCAGCTCCAGCGCCGGCGCCGCCGCCGCGGACGACCTCGACCAGCTCCTCGACAGCGCCCTCGACGACTTCACCAGCCTCGATCTCGCCGCCGCCCCCAAAAGGTCCACCTCTAGTACCCGCCGAGTCAAAACTATTTCGCGAGGATTTTGACTGAATCTGTGACGATGTCCCTTCTCTGCAGCAGCGGCGAGGCATCGGCATCGTCGTCGTCCGGGAGCGCGAGGCCGGTGAGGGGCCTGGGGATGTCGCTGCCTGACCCCAGGGCGCCAAGGAGGCGCGCGGCGAGGCAACCCCAGCCGCCGCCGAGGGGCGCGCACGCGTCGGAGGCGCTCGAGAAGCTGACGCGCGAGACGCGGGAGGCGGTCCGGGGGCTCGAGACGGCCACCGGGGGGATCGCAGGCCTGGATGACGAGGCGATGATGGAGGACTTTGTGAAGCAGTTCGAGGAGTTCGCTGGCGGGCAGGTATGATTGGTGTACGATGCATGTTCATTTGAACTTAGAAAAGAGTCCGGATGACTTCGGGGACTGCTCAATCAACGCTGTTAAAAGATGTGATATGCTAAAAACGGTCGAAATTGCTGGGATGGATGCAACGGTGTATTGGCATTTTATTAGGGATATTCATTAGCTTAAGAATCTTTGCTCGAGAACGCTAATGTACTTTTTCCTTTTTTGCGAGTAGAAAGCTAATTTAGTTGCCTGCAATGAGGAAGCCATTGATGTAATTTGATTTTTACTCTGCATACTCCCTTAATTTATAGCTACTCAGGTGATGTCGTATGTTAGCTCCAATTCCTATATTGTCAATTTTGGATATGCCTGGCTATTACTAAAATGTTTTAAAGAGAAAACATGTTGAGTGCAGGTATGCTTCATTTACAATGCATGTTCATGCAATTTAGGTTCTACTTTTCCCTATTTTAGTGTTTGTTTTACCCCGCAAACTGAGCCTTAGAATACGGAGATATCAGAGGGTTTTACAGAATAGGCTGCTTAATATATGTTGGTCAAAGATGTGACATGCTTAAAACCATTGGGTGAACCAGCACTTCGTGGGGATACAGAATTAGGATGTAATGGTGTACTGGCATACGGATTTTTGTTAGTTTATTTGAGAGTCTTTGCCTGAGAAAGCTAAATGAACTCATTGGCATAGGGGTGAAGGAATCCATTGATGTAAATCTGGTTTTGGAAGGCATACTCCTTAAATTGAATAGCAGTTTGGATGGTGTAATAAGTTCGCTCCAATCCTAGAACATGTGAATGTGATGTCTTCAGTTGTAATGGAATCGCAAATTTTGGGCATGCATGGATACTGCTAAGAAGTTTTTAAGACAACACATATTACAGGAGTATGTATCTTACCAATATTTCTTTTCTAGGCATGGGATTTGAAAATATCAGACTCCCTAGTAAACTACGGCACCATCATTGGCATATTGTTGGTTTATTTGGGAAGAAGTCGTATATATTATTGGTTATTTACTAGTTGTATGGCTCAACCATGGGAATTTGAGAATTTCATCCAAAGAAGCTGTTAATTTAGTGTTTGTCGTTAGAAAGTTACAAAACAGAATGTTTGATGATAAAGTGCGGTTAACTTATGTTGTATTCATACAACTGTGAATCAATTGCTTTACTTTGCTCATCTTCTGCAGGATATGGACTCTATTGTTGAAACAATGATGAAACAACTTCTTTCCAAGGAGATTCTTTACGAACCCATGAAGGACATTGTAGAGAAGTACCCAAAATGGCTGGAGGATAACAAAAGCAAGATAAGCAAAGAAGAATATGAGCGTTACAGCAATCAGCTTGAACTCATGCTGAAACTTAATGAGGTCTATGAACATGAGCCTGAGAATATGTCTAAGGTTTTTGAGATCATGCAAAACATGCAAGAATGTGGTCAGCCCCCCAGTGATCTTGTTCAAGATATTGTTCCGGATCTGGATCTGAGCAAGTTGGGACAACTGTAAGTCTTGCAGTCATTTCCATTTTAAACCAGAACGCTGTCATTACTGCTTTTATTTGCACGTCCTCTGAACTGAAGTTTATATGCTTGTGGGCTACTCGTATCTTTATTTTGTTTTATGTGATATAGTATCTCTAGATAATAATTTATTTATTACTTGTATCTTGTGATGAACAATGGTAAACTTTATTACTGAAGATCATGTAATCTTCTTTTAATGGTGTGAGTTGTAAAAAGTCTTATTGAACACTGACAGGCGGAATGATGTATTGTTGATCTTGTTCTTTTGTAATGGTCATTTATCTTCTATTTGTTGGGAAACAGAACGTCTTTGCTTCTGGATTCGAACTGCAAGACAATAGGCTGCCTGAATTAGCATTAATTTTGTGACAGTGTTAAGTAGAGAATTTTCTAATAAAAAACTTAATACTACTGAGTGCACATCTGTGATTGTAAATACCACTTCTTATTGTGTTTACTCAAAAATGGAGGTTATTATTTGCCAATTTCCTTAATCTTTTAGCTCAATTTCAATTGTGCTAACATGCTATTAGGCCTTTCCATAATGATAGTCGTTCGTATGAGCATACTGTAGGCAGAACACATGTGCACATGGTAAATTGGTGATCAACTGATTATGGAATGAAATTAGTAAATCAATGTTAAAGAAGTTGTCTTGTGATTTAATTAGCCTGTCTGTTTAATTATAGAGTATGCTAGTAGTACTTTACTTTTTGATGCACATCGTATTGTTGTTGGCAAACCAAAGGATGCTAGTAGTACTTTACTTTTTTATGCACACCCTTATTTACACTGAAGTACTGATTAACTGGGGATTTTTACTGTATTGCAGATCTCCTGAGATGCTTGAATCAACAGAAAATTGCTGCATAATGTGATGAGCAAAGCATTTCCATCTTGGGTGCAAATTCCATGTAGTAGCGACAATCCCTGTAACCAGTTGAAAGTTCTTTTCGTTGGATTATTTGTAAAGCTCTGCAGATATAAAACGTACTCAGTTTTTCTTATTCTTGGATGAATGTCATATTCGGTTCAGTTGATGTACTATAATAATGAGCAAAGTAAGTCTGTTTGGATATGCGCAATTCTTCAGAGATGAATTATATCTGCAGATATAGAACGGATTCAGTTTTCTTATTCATGAATGAATGCCATATTTGGTTCAGTTGGTGTACTATAATAATGAGCAAAGTAATCTGTTTGGATATGCGCAATTCTTCAGAGATGAATTATATCCGAATGTCATATTTGGTCTGCATTCATCTTCGTGCTTTTCCTGATAAGTGAAAGACATTGCATATGTATAGCTGGAAAGATTTTGTGTTAAGGGCTCATTGGGTTTGGAGGAAATCAAAACGTAGGAATTAGGAGTAGTATAGAAATTTGATAGGTTGGCACTTGCCATCCTAAGAATTTGACTTGCCTCATTCCTACGCGCAAAATGAGCTTTGAGTGAATGTGTAGTTTGCTTCAAAAACACAGGAAATGAGTAGTATTCTTATGAAATTCCTGTACGCATTTCCTACAAATCGAATGCATATATAGAAATTTTTTCTCCGGAATCTTTGTTTCTATGTTTTTCCTAAAAAAATCCTTCAAACCGAACGAGGCCTAAGCACCGGACATGGTGGGAACAAAAACAATGCTTGAAGGTCTGAAGAATCAACTCAGGGGACTAACATATGCTCGAAGTCTGAGAATGACAATGTTAGCCAATAATTAAGCCTCTAAAATGGATTCGGCACGCTCAAAATAAAAAGTAAACTTGATCATGTTCCATAAGACATTGATGGATGAATGATATATCATGTCCATGAAATCTCCTCGCGTTGCCCGCTTCAGTTTCAACGGGCATACAGTGGGTTGTCAAATTGTCATTGCTCACATTGAACACTCAATACGGGCACACACTTCATTCTCCAGGGCAGCCGTCGTGTTCGAGTTTCCACGGCTTTTGACATCCATAGCAGAACTCAAAGCCGCACCTGTCATGGGATCAAGCAAAGTTCTAAATAGCAGACCATGTAGCAGTTTGTTTTAGTGTTTTTTCATAAATCATGAAAACATGAAAAAAAAAAACATACAATCAGGCACATACTCCCTCCGTCCGGAAATACTTGTCATCAAAACGGATAAAAGGGGATGTATCTAGACATTTTTTAGTTTGAGATACATCTCCCTTTATTCATTTTGATGATAAGTATTTTCGGACGAAGGAAGTATAATATATCACATATACATGTTCAGCCATAAAAAAGTCAAACACTGATCAGGCATTATAAAGAAAAAGAAACTGCTTGTACGAATCTTAGTGATAACATAGGACTTAGATATATGATACTTACAGCACATCTAAATGCACTTCTATATATTCAAAAATCAAGCAACGATCAAATGGGGATGCATCCCGACAAAATCCGCATAAACATAATTAGAGCTAGCATGATAATTAAAATAACAAGGATTCATATATTTTTGGCTTCGCGGACGGATGCGGACACGTCCGCCTACATCCCGACCGATCAAGCATCATATACTCCCTTCAATATGGACTACATAAGGAGTAAAATGAGTGAATATACACTTTAAAATACGTCTATATACATCTAGTTTATATTGAAATCTTTAAAAGGGGTATATTTAAGAACGGAAAGAGTACATGACATACACATGTTAATTAATTGGGCCTCCTACTTCATAAAATCAACGGTTAAGATATTCCATGCACAAGAGAGACCATGTTAAAATTGCTCTATATACATAGCTATTGTGACAGGACTCTTCAAAAGCTATGGTAGTTGTATAGCGGAGTTATAGCCCCAAAAATGGCAACTAGAGACCGAGCTCTATTGAAGCCTTAATTTGAAAACTTCAAAATTCAAACTTTCTAGTTAAAAAAAATGAAAAAAATACACATATACCTAAAGACATAATTCACATGTGTAAATTTTCAGGTCGAAATACCTTAAAATGAGTACTACACAAAAAAAATCTGGGCCTTTTTAGCACATGTACTATTCATTCTCAAAGAACATGCTTTTTTTCTGCTTGCAATTCAAGGTATTTCATCCTAAAAATTCACATTACATCCTTGTATATATGTGTAATTTTTTCAGAATTTTTAAAAAGTGAAAGAGTTTGAATTTTGATAATTTCAAAATTAAGAGCAACTCTAGCAGATCTGCTATATCTGCTCGGCCAGCAAATAACCGCCGATATATGGTACCAGGACAAAAAAAAGTCCCAGACAGGTACCGTATGTCTAGTCGTCCTGCAATTGTTTTTTGCGGAGAGCTCTAAAAATTGCCCTGCAACCCTCAAATCTCCTGTTTTCACCTCCTCCTTTGCGGTTTCTTCTATCCCACGTGCGACTTGGCGGAGGGAAATTTCCGCGCACACCCGCCATTCGGCCGCCGCACCCTCCCCAAGTCTTCGATGACTTTTTCTTCCTCCGACCACCTTGCTCCGTGGAGAGCTTTGGCCTTCCCCACCTGCATCTTCTCCACCAAGATTAAAGCTGGGGGCATTTCTTGCCACGGGCGGGCTGTAACTGCCATCGCCATGGATCCGTCCGGTAGCTTCAAGTGCTGCCACGTTGCGGGCAGATCCAGTTGCTCTGGCCACGATTGAGCGGCCGCCGTCCGCACGAGCTGCAGGGAGGCGAGAGGAAGTAGGGGAAGCGGCGGCTGCAGTGGAGAAGAAGGGAGTTGCAGGGTCGCGAATTTCGGTCGGCGATGGGGGGGAAGGGGGTTGCGGCTGCTTCGTCTTTGCTTGGGCAGGATTTGATTCCAGTGAAAGGTAAGATTTGTAGCTTTTCTACAGATTTTCAATTCGGCCAACGGGCGATTTTTGATGAACTCGTGAATTTATTTTCATAGATGGATGATATTTGGAGTTGGTCCTCGTCGTCAGAGTCGGATGATTGGACATAGATGAGATGTTTTTTGACGATATGCCAAGCACGTCCTCTTGTTGCATCTCGTCGACAAATCTGAAGCCCGCAAGAAGAAGAAGAAGTGCCACAGATCGATGGTTGACCTCCTTTGCAATTCCGCGCAACCGAGCTTGCGGCCACAAATTGCTCATAAAAGACTATTTTGCCGAGGTACCAACCTATCTGGGTCATCTCTTACACGTAGGCGTTATCGAATGCATAGGTCTCTTTTTGTTCGCATTGTGGAAGCTTGCAAGCAAAATTATCGTTTCTTCACTCGTTGAGAAATGCCGCCAGTTTGGTAGGATTTAGTGCAAGCAAAATACAAATTATTTCCGCCCGAGCACAAGAAAGCATGTCGAAAAAGATATTGAGAGAGCATTTGGTGTGTTGGAACCTCAGCTTGCCATCGATCGAGGTCCTGCTCGCTTCAGGGATACTCAAATATCATGACTACATGTATAATTCTACACAACATGATCAACGAGGATGAGAGGGATTTAAACGTTTTTTCTGTGATAATATTGGCAGTTGTGTCAAGCCTACCAGAAACCCAGATGAGATAACTGCATTTCATGAAACCTACCGACAGATTTAAGACCATGACACACACCAGCAGCTCTGCAATGATCTCATTGAGTATCAGTGGCAATTCTATGGGAAATAGACTCCCATTTTATTAATTCGATATATTTGTTTTCATGTGTGATTTGAACAATTGTTTTAATTCTGGAACATTCGTTATTGTAATAATTCCGGACCATTTATTATTCAGATTTGAACATTTGTTCTATTTGAGAAAATTAATGTATTGTATGATGTTAAAACATTTAACTTTGAACATTTGTTTTTATTTAAGTTATATTGCCTAAAACAATGATTTGCGGCACGGATTTACAGTACAGCGTGGCGTCAGGGCGGAATAGATGCTACAAACCCTTACAGTATAGGTTTGCGACATCTGTTTTGCCTGACACTGTGCGGTACAACAAAGTCAGTTTACATGGAGCCACAAACGGTTTTTACGGGTTGAGATTATATGGCATTTGCTAGAGTTGGTCCAAGGCCTTCATGGAGCTCAATCTCCAAAATGCGCTGCTCGTTATGCCCCCACTACTACGAAAGGGTTGCTCCTCACCAGTGGCGGAGCTATGGGCCGATTGTTGGGCGCCAGACATAGAACCTACACTGAACACTTGATTTTTAGGCCCAGTTTTTCTGTCTTCCTTCCCTATTTTCTCCTGGGCTGGGCGGGCCAAGGCCCAGTTTGGCCCTCACGTAGCTCCGCCCATGCTCCTCACTATTAAAACTTCAGATAAAAGTCACAAACAAATACTCCACAGAAACCAAGTGTTGTTCTGCACCAGAAAATTACTGCTACGACATTACACGTCAGAAGTTAGAGGTCAGCCTATAGCTCCTAAATTAGAGAAGCATGCATATGGGCGTGTCGCAAATTCATCTACAGTAGGTGTTAGTACGTACCTGCATGTGATGTGCAGGCAGCCATGGGACTTCTCGACGTAGAACCGGCACCGCGGGCAGCGCTTCCATTTGCACTCCCTGGCGGCCTCAACGAGCAGCAGATCCTCACGGCCGCGCTCCCCGGCGCCGAGCTGCGCGAACTCGGCGCAGCTCACGCCGGCGTGCCACGGCACCGCGCAATGCGCGCAGAACAGCCGCCTGCACACCTGACACTCCGACTGCGTGACGCACCCCTCGGACGCGCCGCCACCGTCGTCGTCGGCCACCATCATCTCGGAGCAGTCAGGGAAAGGGCAGTAGGTCCGCCGCGCCCCGAGGAACATGGACTCGCATAGCACCCCGCACCACCGCACGAACAGGTCGGCCGGGAGGGCGGCGCGGCACAGCTCCGGGTCGAGAGCGCCGGCGCAGGACACACCGGGGCACCGCACGACGGCCGCGCCGGCCTCGACCTTGGCGCGGACATGGCCCGCCAGGCACGCCCGGCAGAAGGCGTGCGCGCACCCGCTGCCGCCGCGGTGGGCGTCAGAAGGCGCCATGGGCTCCATGCAGATGCTGCAGGGCTGCTGCGCCTTCCCCACGGGCTCCTCCATTGCTGTGGCGCGAGCTTTTTGGTTGGGAAGGTGGGAAGTTACTGAGTTTGGCGTATTTTACGGCCAGTGTTGCTACGGTTACGATGAATACGGATCGTTGTGGATCTCTCTCTTCTTCCGATGGTATACGATCTTCTTGTTTCGGAGAGAGAGTGGCACCATATCTGTTGGTTTACTTGGGATTTAAAGGAACGGTGAGATTTAAATGGCGTCTGTTGGTTTCCATAGTCTTATGTTCCCAAGGTGAGCGAAAATGATAAGATTGGACGCTCCTCAAAAAAAAAAATGATATGATTGGACCGTGTTTTGGTTAAAACCATGTTTTAGACTTTTGGTTGCACAGCAATTGATGCGAGCGACTAGTCCAAGGTACCTCGAGGGGCATTTCCTATTTAGTGCTGCAGCCCCCCGTTACAATGCAATTTACAAACGGGCGCCTGCAGCAGTCCAAGCTGGGCCGGCCCAATCTAGTTTTGCGGAAACGTTAAAAAGTGAGAGAACTGGGAATCGAACCCACGCCGGACTCGTTATGATTGCTGCGCTCCAACCTCTATGACATCGAGCTTGTTGTGAGCTAAGCTAAGACTAGCCATAGTGGGAGTAACTTCAGCAGTAACATCGAGTCCAACTCAGCAAATTTGCTTATGTGGCAATGAGTTAATGAGGAGAAAGATAGTAGTAGTAACTTAGCTAGTTACTGTAACATCACATGTCTCAATGCAATATGAGTCTATAACCTAATAAATGAATCTTTGCATGTTACCATCTTTAAGGTACTACCCACTATGAAGGTAGTAATATAGTTTAGGGATATGTGTATGTTACTAGTATATGTTACTATTCATTGTGGCTAGTCTAAGGCCCTGTTCGGAGCACCTTCACTCCACAACTCCACTCCCGGAGTTGATGGAGTTGCAGTTGAAAACTGCAGAGCAGCTATTTCCTGGCTCCATAGCTCCTGGAATTTCGTGGAGCTGGTGGAACTTCGAACAGGCCTTAAGTCGCTCTTTCTTTTTATTTTGTTTCTTCTGGTTCGCGAATCTTGACGGTTTTATTCATTTTTCCTTTTTTTAATGCGTGATTTTTTAAAAGAATGTCATGTTTTTAAATTGTTGTACTTTTTCAGATTACATGAACTTTATTCAAATTCGAAGAACTTTTTCTGAATTCGATGAACTTTTTTCAGATTACATGAACTTTTTTCAAATTTGATGAACAATTTTTTTAAAAATCGATGAACTTTTTCCATATTACATGAACTTTTTTCAAATTTGGTGAACTTTTTCTGAATTCGATGAACTTTTTTTAAAAATTGATGAACTTTTTTCATACTACATGAACTTTTTTCAAATTCAGTGAACTTTTTCCAGATTACATGAACTTTTTTAAATTTGATGAACTTTTTTTAAATGCGATGAATTTTTTTCAAATTCGATGAACTTTTTTCGAAACCGATGAACTTTTTTCGAATCTAATGAACTTTTTTTGAATTTGATGAACTTTTTTCGAATCCGGTGAACTTTTCTTTGAATTTGGTGAACTTTTTTCGAATTCAATGAACTTTTTTTTGAAAATCGATGAATCTTTTTCATTTTTTTGAACTTTGCTTAAAATTTGATGAACTTTTTTTCGAATTTATGTTTTCTCTTTTGAGATAATTTATATTGAGTATATATTAATGTTTTACTGCACGAAAAGGTTAGGTAGAACTGTTTTCTTGTAGAAGACAACAAAGTTAGTTTGTTCTGGTGGTTAGTGTGGTGCACTTGCAACGAAGTAATCCAGAGTTCGAATCCCCAGCTATCCTCAGGTTTTATTGCTTTTTTTTACTTCAAAAGCGATTGAGTGCAAGCGCGCGTTGGGCCGGCCCTTGCCAGCGACGCTGCAGGCGCCAACTCGTTAACGGGCGCCTGCAGCGCTGACTAGGGGCTTCCCAGCGGGGCGGTCCTGTTCTTCTCTGCGGGGCGGTCCTGTTCTGCAGCGCTGCTCGCCATGGGCCTGGCCCAACAAGGGCCTATGCTCCCTCGTGTCGCTCGCTGTTTCTTCGATCGCTCTTCTCTGCGATCGTTTTTTCATCAATAATAATAATAATAATCTCTTCGAACGGGAGGATGGTTGACCGGTCAGCTGGGCCCAAAGTCAACCGCTTTTACTACTGTAGACAAACGGAAAAAATCGAAAAAATGAAAACAAATTCATTTGAAAAGAAAGTGCATTCATTTGCAATAAAAAGTTCGCAAATATGGGGGAAAATTCAAAATTTTAAAAAGTTCATGAAATTCAAAAAACTTCATAGGGTTTCTGAACAAAGTTCATCGACTTTGAAAAACAAAGTTCATCGACTTTGAAAAACAAAGTTCATCAAATTTTGAAAAAAATCACAAATTGAAAAAAGTTCATCGATTTTGAAAAAAAGTTCATCAATTTTGAAAAAAAAAGTTCGCAATTTTGAAAAAAGTTCACTGATTTCCAAAACAAAGTTCATCGATCTTGAAAAAAGTGCATGGATTTCAAAAAAGTTCAACAATTTTGAAAAAAGTGCACGTCAGCAATTTTTTTTAAAATATTTCATGAAAGTGAAAAGTTCATCAATTTAAGGTTCATCAATCCGGAAAAAGTTCAAGGATTTCGAAAAAAATTGTAAAAATTGAGAGGAGTCCGTGTGACGGTGTCCTGTACTAAGGGTACCAACCTAGTTGGCCCACAATCCATGGGCCAAGCTTATGGCGCACTAATCTCACAAGGAAGGACTCCAGAAGCCACAAACTCATATGTGATCAAAACGGTCTCAGCTGAAAACTTGGTGTGTACTTCAAGGACCACTTCATCTATCGACATGATTATCCCTAGTTGACAACTGATCATGTGTAACTCTAGATACCCCTGGTGCCAATATAAGCCAGGGAATTTAGTCCATAGGGACACAATCACAATTGCTAGCCTTAGGGTTTAGAACACAACATATGATCTCGAGGTAGATCAACCGGTACGTGGAGGTTAGAGGCGATCTTCCACGCGGCTAGGGTTTGGCTGGTCCGCCGCCGGTTGCCTCCTTGGCGGTGGCGCGAGGGCCGGTGCTTTCTGTCCCAGGTCGACGTTGTGAGGTGTCGTCGCTGGTCTCTCTCTCCACTACGAGGTTATGGCCGTCCAGGTCATCATAGTAGATTAGGTTTCTGCTCAGCTAGGTTTAATCCAAGGAGCATGCCGTGCATGGATTTGTAAGATTTCCATGGGGAAGTGGTGCTCTAGCATTTCATAGCTTGGATGCGTTGATCTCTTTATGTGCTGATACAATTTGATTTGGTGGAGCTGGTACTTTCTCATGTTGAGTTTGGTTTCGTTGAGGAAGGAAAAGATTTAAGATAACTGAAGGTTGAAATTGGGCTCTTCCGAGGCAGCAACTGATCCACCGTTGTTCTCCTCCGTGAAGGGTCACCGGGAGCAATGAAGCTTATAAGTTGGAATTGTTGGGGCCTCCTGGGTGCCCGAACGGTTCGCTCACTTTTCGACATCCAGAGGCGGCATAACGTGGATGTGTATTTTTCTGTCTGAGACACACCTAGACGAAGATAAGGCAGAGGTTCTAATGAGGAAATTGGGGATGGACCACAAGATTGTTGCACCAAGTCTTGATGGCAGAAAAGGTGGATTGCTACTTGTGTGGAAGAAAGAGGTTAGGTTGTACTCCCGGACTACTACCTTTAGCTGCATTGATGTGTCGATAGAGGAACCAGATGGGAAAGTTTGGAGATTGTAGGGAGTGTATGGTGAGCCGAGTGGGGACAATAAAGAGCGAACTTATCAGCTCTTACGTGATATTCATGCACAATCAAGCCTTCCATGGATGCGATTGGTGATTTCAACGAGATCCTTTTCTTGTCAGAGAAGGAAGGTGGAGCTCCACGACATCAGTCTCAGCTTCAAGCTTTCCAGGACGCACTTGCAGATTGCTTGTTGGAAGATATAGGATATTGATAACCCACAAGTATAGGGGATCAATTGTAGCCTCTTTCGATAAGTAAGAGTGTCGAACCCGACGAGGAGCTAAAGGTAGAACAAATATTCCCTCAAGTTCTATCGACCATCGATACAACTCTACGCACGATTAACGTTCGCTTTACCTTGAACAAGTATGAAACTAGAAGTACTTTATAGGTGTTGTTGGATAGGTTTGCAAGATAATAAAGAACACGTAAATAAAAAGTAGGGGCTGTTTAGATGAAGACACAACTAAGTTAGTTTTAGTAGAGAGCTTGTTGTCACACAAGAAAGTTATTTGTCCCTAGGCAATCGATAACTAGACCGGTAATCATTATTGCAATTTTATTTGAAGGAGAGGCATAAGATAACATACTTTCTCTTCTTGGATCATATGCACTTATGATTGGAACTCTAGCAAGCATCCGCAACTACTAAAGATCATTAAGGTAAAACCAAACCATAGCATTATAAGGCATCAAGTCCTCTTTATTTCCATACGCAAACAACCTACTTACTCGGGTCTGTGTTTCTATCACTCACGCCACCCACCATAAGCAAATCATGAACATATTGCAAACCCTACAGCGGGGATCCCTCATGCTTGTAGGACACAGAGAGCACCATAGGACAACACCAATAATAAAACATGCAACTCAAACCAATCACGATCTTCAGTTAACCCATAGGACAAAACAGATCTACTCAAACATCATAGGATAGCCATACTGTCACAGCCCCAGTTCTGGCCTTGCCTGTCTTGCTTTAGCCTCCATGCATCATGTCTAAATTTTTATGAAACTTTGAAATGGGGGGATGATAAACCCTAGCAGCAAATGAAATTCAACTAGGTTCAAATTCAAATATTTTCAATGATCCCAAAATGCCCTTTAGAAATGTTCATCATTTTTGAATTGGTCCAGCACCTCTGACAAAAATGGTGCACATTTTTCTAGATCAATTTGGATTTTTGAATTAAATCATAAAGTATTTGAATTTGGGCATTTAAATGCTATAACTAT